AGAGAGGGAGAGAGAGAGCGAGAGAGAGAGAGGGAGAGGTAAAAGGGGAAAGCATTAGTTTTGTGTCACATGAGATGCAAACACATGAGCTTCAGTAATGGAAACAGCTGCTCACTTCTGATGAACCCCACACACACAAACTACTCTGAAATATGAGGGGAAAAGCTGCAGATTTCAGAGCTAAATGAATGAAGAGTTTCATTTTCACACTTTAGTTCTTGTCAAGTCAGATTTATTTATATAGTACTATCACAATACACATTGTTTCAATGTAGCTTTACAGACAATCATGACGTGAATGTTATTTTATCTTAATCTCATCATAATATCTTATGAATATAAGATATCTTAATATATGTTTTATCTTGTTTACCTGTAAAAAATAAAAAAATACATGAAAGTCCTTAAAACGAGATTAATTTACTTCAAAACTAGAGTTGCAGGAGATAATAAGAATTGCTTTCAGAGAATATTTCTTGAGTTAAGTTAATTTTTTGCTTGTGAAATAGCTTTTCTGAACACTGTGGGATTCAGGGTTACTTTCATTAACTAGAACTAAAACTTCAAATTTAATAAATAAATAAATAAGACCTAAAATGAAAAAAAAATAAATCTATATATAAAGTATATATTTATATATAAACAGTATGTACAGTACATGTGTGTGTTTGTAATATATAAACTTGCATTTATTTTATTGCAGCTACTAAAATAAATAAAACTGAAATAAAATAAGAATATATAGACATTAAAAAACTACTAAGAAAAAATGACAAAAACATTACACAAAAATTGCTAAAATTTTAACAAAAATTAAATTGAAACATAAAATACAAAAATGTATTCAAAATATTAATAAAACGTATAGATCCAGTATCTAACACACACACACACTCAAACTCTCTCACACAGACACACACACACACTCTCACACTTACACACACACACACACACACACACAAACTCTCTCTCACACACACTCACACACACACACACACTCTCTCTCACACACTCTCACTGTCACACTCTCTCTCACACACACAC